AGTGACAGTAGCAAAAAGCCAAGGCCGTTTGGTAAGAACCCCCTTTGGGCTGTCATCTGACATACTGAGCCCGTTTTCCCTGCCAGTTTAGGACTCCAGAACCCTACCTCGTTGAGACAGCCACGCTAGACTTGCGCAACACAGACCCAGGTCTGGTCCACGCCCCCAAAGCTGCAGACTTTAACCAAAAACTGCTCAGCAGGTCACCTATCTCCAGCACCCAGACACCCAGTTCCCAATGGGATCCAAACCCCAAATAAATCTGTTTTACACTGTATAAAGCTTTTACAGGGTAAACTCATAAATTGTCCGCCTTCTATAACACCGATAGAGAGAGATGCACAGCTGTTTGCTCCCCCCAGGTATTAATCTCTTACTCTGATTTTACTAATAAACAAAAGTGATTTTATTAAGTACAAAAAGTAGGATTTAAGTGGTTTCAAGTGATAACAGACAGAAAAAAATAAGTCACCAAACGAAATAAAACAAAAACACGCAAGTCTAAGCCTAATACATTAAGAAACTGTTTACAGGTAAAATCTCACCCTCAGAGATGTTCCAATAAGCTTCTTTCACAGATTAGACTTCTTCCTAGTCTGGGCCCAATCCTTTCCCCGGTACAGTTCTTGTTAATTCTAGCAAACATCTTAGGTGGAAACTAGGGGTTTTCTCATAACTGGAAGCCTCCTTTGTTCTCTTCCACCCCCTTTCATAGCTTTGGCACAAGGCAGGAATCTTGTGTCTCTCTGGGTCCCCAACCCTCCTTCTAAATAGAAAAGTACCAGATTTGAGATGGATCTTCTTATCAGGTGACGTGGTCACATGTCACTGTAAGACCTCGTTCTTCATTACCCATGGGTTGGCCCACACGCACACAGGAAGACTTGCAGGTAAATAAACCTTCCACAACCAGTTGTCCTAGTCAGTGGGAGCCATCAAGATTCTAACCCACCATTAATGGCCCACGCTTTGCATAATTACAATAGGACCTCAGAGTTATACTTCATATTTTTAGCTTCAGATACAGGAATGATACATGCATACAAATAGGATGACCATACTCCGTAGATCAGGGGTCGGCAACGTTCGGCACGTGGCTCGCCAGGGTAAGCACCCTGGCGAGCCACATGCCGAACGTTGCCGACCCCTGCAGTAGATTATAAGCTTTGCAATAATACCTTAAAAGAGACCTTTTGCATAAAGCATATTCCAGTTACGTCATATTCATATTCATAAGCATGTTTCCATAAAACGTTATGGAGTGCAACATCACAAAAGAGTTCGAGGTTATCCAACAATTAAGCTGTATGTTGACCTTTCCTGTATTTTATTTTTATATATCAATCCTCACTACCACTCACTTTCCTTTGTAAAGGAAAACAAACAAACATACAAAAAAAATCTTAACAGCTGATACCAGTAAGAAGCAGGAAAAGAAAATGACAATTCACTTTGGAGCCAGTTTTGAATCAGTCAATGCTGAACTGGATAATATTTTTTTTTAATTATTTTTCATTTACATTTAAGGTTCTCTGTAATACTAAGCTGTTAAACAAAGTGGTGGTATAAGTTAGTTGAGTATTAATTAAGCTGAAACAAGCTTGTATAATAGTATAAATAATCCATAGTCTCATAAAATATTGTTTAAAGGGACATCATGAACTTGAAATCCAGTAAATTCCCATTGACAAATTAAACACAGTTTCAGGTATGAAGCCTATATATGAGTCACCCTGCCAGTGTTTGACTTTCTGATTGCATTTCCCCATTTTTAATGACTTTTCAGTCCCATATTGCTGTGTAGGGACTGAAAAATGTGTCACGGACCGTGAAATCTGGTCTCCCCCCGTGAAATCTGGTCTTTTGTGTGCTTTTACCCTATACTATATAGATTTCACAGGGCAGACCAGCGTTTCTCAATTTGGGGGTCCTGACCAAAAGGGAGTTTCAGGGGGTCGCATGGTTATTTTATGGGGGTCACAATATTGCCACCCCTCTGCGCTGTCTTCAGAGCTGGGCAGCTGGAGAGCAGGGGCTGCTGGCCAGATGCCCAGCTCTGATGGCAGTGCCCCACCTGCAGCAGCACAGAAGTAAGGATGGCAGTACCATACTGTGCCATCATTACTTCTCCGCTGCTGCTGACAGCGGCTCTCCCTTCAGAGCTGGGCTTCCAGCCAGCAGTCCCCACTCTCCAGCGGCCCAGCTCTGAAGGCAGCACTGCTACCAGCAGCAGCACAGAAGTAAGGGTAGCAGTACTGCAACCCCCCTACAATAACCTTGCAATTCCCCCACAACTCATTTTTTTGGGTCAGGACCCCTACAATTACAACACTGTAAAATTTCGGATTTAAATAGCTGAAATCATGACATTTACAATTTTTAAAATCCTATGATCGTGAAATTGACCAAAATGGACCATGAATTTGGTAGGGCCCTAGCTATGTGTGAAAAGACCCATACAGCCAGGGAAACGAACTGCTGTGAAAGTGACTGTACACACAGTGCTATTAAAGGTATAAAGTAAAAACAGAAAACTGTATTTTTTTCTAATTTTTCAAGTGCAGTTATTAAAAATGAAAATTTGAGAAATGGTCGGACTTACAATTCTTTGTTTCCCCATGTGTGTTGGACTTATCAACGGATGTTTGGTTGTCATAAAGATCCCATTGTTGCTTTTTGGTTTTCTTTAGTTATATTTCCCAAGGGTTGTGCCATTGAAATATTGTAGCTTGCTACAGGCTGCAGGTGAAAAACTTTGTCGTCATGACATATTCAGGCTCAAAAAATTGATCTTAAGGACACCAAAAAATAATGTAACTGACCCAGATGGATTCTTTTTTTAAAGGAAATCCTATTATTCTTCACTGTCTTAAATCTTACTTGAATATTTTTTCTGATAATAAAAGCAAGTTAGATCCTCCCCCATCAGTTACATACAGTAACATATTAGAGTTTCTTGTCTGCCTCACTGGAGGGAGGATTAACTGAGTGTTCAGGTTTAAAAAACCTTTGCAGATTATCCATTTGGCCTTTCTATTTTGTTTTTTTCAAATAGTAAAAGGATATCCTAAGGCTTTTTTGATAAGGAGTAATAAATGGAAATTTTTAATATTTAATAATGGGGTCTAAATGCTGAGTTCTTTTTCATAGTCTGAGAGCAAATCTTCTCTAGTTTTTGTATTTCTAATATATTGTCATTAGAAAGCACGTGGTAGCCAACATGTACAGCAGAACTTATTTTCAGATGGCAAACAGTGCGGAGTGTATTTTTTTTTTTTCCTCCCTCATTCTAATTATATTTTACTGTGCCACTGAACTATACTTTTTCTATTTAAAGATTTGATTCTTTTGGCTAATGCATTGAAAAATAAAGTTGCTCAGCACTTACTAATGCTTGAATATTAGAAATATGGGGATGCTATGATTTTGCATACGCAGCTAACTGATTTATTTTAGTTATGAACAAAGATGATGAAACAAATGGCAATTCCTCAGGATTTTGGGTTTTTTCCCCCTCCAGCTTAAAAGGTGATTTGGCATACAACTATAGAGGACCTAGAACCAAAGAGGATATAATTGAATTTGCTAACAGAGTAGCAGGGTAAGTATTTATAATCTTCTTTGAAGATACCAGTGACTTACATAGTTTTGTTGAGTTTGCCCCATTTGATTTTTTCAAAGGAGAGCCAAAAGATGGGCTTCTTTGATAGAAAGATGCTAGACCTATTAATGTAGTCTTTTATTCTTACAATTACTTTGCTAGAATCAGTGGCATCAATCTTGTTCATTTATTATAGTTTGAATTAGATGTGAACTGTAAAGAAAATTGAGTTAAGCCCAGAAATAGATTAAATACCTCCACTAACCAGTGGAGGTGAGTTGGGGGTCATTCAGTAATGGAATACGTATTAAACAGTGAGTGGACTCCTCAGTAAAGACCGTAGTAAGCCAATCTTTCTGCATGTATTTCTGCAAAACTCTTTTGTATTGGCTAGCTCCTACGACCCAGTTAGTGGAGACCTAATCTTTACCCCATCTGATTTAATAGTTCCAACAGTGGCCAATGCCAGGTGCCCCAGAGGGAATGAACAGAACAGGAAATCATCCCCTGTCACCCATTCCCAACTTTTTCCAAACAGAGGCTAGGGACACCATCCCTGCCCATCCTGGTTAATAGCCATTGATGGACCTATCCTCCATGAATTTATCTAGTTCTTTTTTGTTGTGTCTCCTCCCTCCATTTGTGCTGCCTTGTAGAGTGTGAAGCTATATTAACAAAAATGTGTTAACCCAGGGGTCGGCAACCTCTGGCACGCAGCT